CACTTGGAAGGCGGCTGGTCCTGATGGCGTCCCGGGACGCGTGCTGAAGGACTGTGCTGATCAGCTGGCCGGAATCTTCACAAAGATCTTCAACCAGTCCCTGGAACAGTCCACTGTCCCACCCTGCCTGAAATCCTCAACCATAGTCCCACTGCCCAAGAAACCTCACATCTCTAGCCTCAACGATTACAGACCAGTAGCACTCACCCCAGTGGTGATGAAGTGCTTTGAGAAACTGGTCCGTAGTCACATCACAGCTGCCCTGCCCCGCAGCCTTGATCCCCACCAGTTTGCCCACAGAGCGAACCGATCTACAGAAGTCCCTTGCTCTACTCCCTCTACACACACGACTGCTCCCCTGTCCATCACAGCAACACCATGGTGAAGTTTGCGGATGACACCACAGTGATGGGGCTCATCTCCAGGGGCGAGGGTGAGTCTGCCTACAGAGATGAGGTGGAGCGGCTGTCAACATGGTGCAGGGACAACAACCTGCTCCTCAACACCTCAAAGACCAAAGAACTCATCATAGACTACAGGAGAAATAAAACAGAGATCCCACCATTAATCATCAGCGGGGACTGTGTGGAGAGGGTGGCAGACTTCTGCTTCCTGGGAGTCCATATCCAGGAGGACCTTTCCTGGAGTGTGAACACCTCTGAGCTGTTGAAAAAGGCCCAGCAGAGACTGTACTTCCTGAGAATACTCAGGGGGAATAACATCACACAAAGACAACTGGTGTCCTTTTACCGTGCCTCCGTTGAGAGCATACTAACATACTGCATGTGCGTATGGTACACCAGATGCACAGCGGCTCAGAGGAAAGTGCTCCAGAGGGTCATCAACACCGCTCAAAAGATCGTCGGCTGTCCTCTCCCCACACTGGAAGAACTACACAGTTCCCGTTGCCTCAAAAAGCCCAGAACATCATAAAGGACACCCACCATCCTGGTCACTCCCTGTTTGAACTGTTGCCTTCAGGCAGGCGGTACCGATCATTTAAAGCAAGGACAAATAGACTCAAACACAGTTTTTATCCAACTGCAGTAACTACCTCAATGCTGCAAAAAAATAATACGCAATGACTGGGTGTGTATGACTGTGTGTCTATGTATGCTGCTAATTATGTTACATGGTTTTATTTTAATAACACTAGCACTTAAATTATTTAGCACTTTAAATTATTATTTATTATTTTTTAAATGTATGCTAAATTAAGCACTGATCGGAGAGCACTTTAAATTTCGTTATACCTGTGACAATGACAATAAAGGTCTATTCTGTTCTTCTATTCTATTCAAAACGATATGTTCTAAGGTTTTTAATAACAGTTTTTCATCTTTACTGTAAAAGATGGGGGGGGGGACTCAGCCCTGTTAGCCCATATATACCAGCCGTCCCTGACTGTATATACCTTTCTTTAGTAGTCAATATATTTTATTATATTTTGTAATATTCTCATTTTGTGATCCTATTGAACTTCCACTTCAGTAATCTTTGCACTACATTCCCCAATGCTGCTGTGGGTAATTTCCATTTCTCCTACGGGGGATCAATAAAGGTAAATGTCACTTATCTTATTATAACCTTCATCCAGGGAGGATTTATTGCAAGACTGTTGACCTGATAATGTCGCCAATTATTGTACATCTATATCAAACTAAGAGTAAAACCAGTTGTGAAACAATATGTTAGTTCAAATAAAATCAGACTTGAACTGAAAAAACCTTTTGTACTTACAAAATCTGAAAGAAAAGTAGGAAATGTTTTCATTTTTTTGTCTCAAATTTGACAACACAACGAGCATAAAGAGGCGTTGGTGCCTGTTTATTGATAATGGGTTGTCTACATGACTGTGTTCACAAAGTGTTGTGTTTGTATTGTAATATATTCTAACTTATATTATAGTTTAAAAAACTAAAGCTAATACTGAAACTAATAAAAACTAAACTATTTCAATAACATTTAAATAAATGAATTGAAACAAGCCAACCTCTGTAAACTAAAGTGAATGCAGTCAGTCGGTATGAGGACTTAATAAATGTATATTTGAACATTTCTGTTCAATGTGTAAAGGACAGTGAACACAACACATTTACATTTACAATCTCTTTGTCTCACTCAAAAGTTTATTGTTCATTTAACTGAACAGTTGCAAACAATATGTCTCCACTCTGCAGCCTCATGCTCTTAAAACGTTTAATCTAACAACAACATACAGAGTCTGTACAAGATACTACTCTACTATTAACTCACTACAACCTTTATAATATCGATTATTGATGTTAGACAATCAGAGGGGGGGTGCACCGGTCCTGGAAGTACTGCAATACCAGGTCGATGCGTGGAGTGGACGGAGCAAGCCCCTATTCCATCTCCCAGTTCCAAAAATCAATTTAATATATGGTCCCCGGGTAGGGGACGTATCAGATATTAAACTGATAAGAACAGATACTACACTTGATCTTAGCCAAAAGGCCGAGAAGCGATACTGAACTACAGTCGGAGGTACGGAGCTCTTTCTCCGCACCGGGACCCTCACTGACGGTTCACAGCCCGACGGAACAACGTGAACACAGTCGAGACAAATACAATAACAATAAAGTGAAGAAAAGTAAAGTACAACAAACTACAGTCGGAGAAAATGTCGCAGAACCGCTAAAAATAAAGAAAGTTTAAAGAAATAACTTTACCAAACGCGGCTCGTCGCCACTTCCCGATCACGTGTTGTCTCCTAATCCAATCAGACGCTTTCAGCAACGTCACAACCCAAACAACTTTTTTTTTTTTTTATATATCAACTTTATTTAAATATTCGATTTACAAATTATGTCAAACAATAACACATAACACAATACATATGAGCTGTTTTACAGATACAAAAACAGGGTCAAAACAACCCAAACAACCGTCTGTTCATAAATATCACTATTTACATATATACCGTATTGACCCGAATATAAGACGTACCAAGAAAAATACTTTTCACTGGGTTCCTCCTCCTCACTCGCACTGTCGTTGTCGCTGTCTGCCGCTGCCGCCGGCAGGCTAACACACCCACTCCAGCCGACTTGTTTACTGTACATGCTTGTTTACAGGATCACGTTAGGGTCACACTGCACTAAACGCTGACGGAGAGAAAAGCGCTCATATGGCGCTACCTATTGTTTTACATGGGTTACTGCTTAGACCCCGAATATAAGACGAGGCGTCATTTTCAGGCATTTTTCAAGGGAAAAAATATCGTCTTATATTCGGATCAATACGGTATATCACTATTTATAGATATATATCACTATTTATAGATATATATATATATACGACTATTTAAATATATATCACTATTTATAGATATATATCACTATTTATATATATATATATATATGAATTATTTTGGTAATAAATAATAAAGCATAATAACAGTCTGAGTAAGTGAGTGTAACTTCTGTGTGGTATATTACTGTCTGACAACAACAGGAGAGAATATGCAGAAGAGTTACAACCACTGACTGTATATTTCTGCACATTAATGGTTTTTAGATGATTTCTTTTCAACATGTATATCAGGGGTCAGCGCGAACGCAGTCCCCCACTACCACAAATTATGCAGTCGAGATTCCCACATTTGGGGAATTCGTTGAGGTCAACCCAACCGGAGTGCAATGGTCAGGCCTCGCCCAAGGTGAACCACCTTCTTGATCATGGTATCTCCCCTGCCAGGTAAGTATGAGTTGTCCAGCTCAGAGACAGGGAGCTCTCTCACAGACACACCGTGTTAACTGATGGTGCTAATAATCTCTATATTACTGAAACCAGAGGATGTAGAAGGTGAGTGAAACTGCAGAACAGAATACAGAAGATACAGTTTTGAACTTAAGCTGATAAAGATTATATTTTGCTTTATGTACGTAAAGTTTATGTTTCCCATAATGCAATGCGGTATGGCTACATTAGCAGCTAACACAAATCAGCAGTTTGTTTCTATTTTACCTCCAACAAATGAACAACAGTCCAACAACAAGTTCAAGTGAGACAAAGCTGAATCAAACTGCAATCAGAGGCTGTTTGATCCACATTTACAATCCAGAAAAAAACAACTAAAAACACTAAAAACACTAAAAACACTTTTTCTCCCACACTTTACAACCACTTCCTGTTTCTTTGTCTCCCGGGCAACGGGGCCGTCCTGTTACTGCCACCTACTGGTCTGGAGTGAATCAGGATTTTAACAATAAAGTTCAACAGCAACACAAACTGTCATAATTCAGCTAAACTCTATCTGCCTTCTGAGGACATGCAATCGAGGACCACTTTCCCCAAATCACACAGTAAATAGGGGTTTTAAACACATGGACTTTATCTAAATAAACTAAAAGGAATTTAAGGATCTGATTTTTGAAAATTAAAACACAGTTCCCAAAATTATTCCTCCACTCTTTCCATCCTTGGTTCTTTAAACATATTGACCTGATATCTAAATCTGTCATCCTTTGTAAAATGTTGAAGATCAAGGCCCAAAACAATATTAAATAACCACAAATGTTCCCACAACAGCGGCTCTGTTCATAAGTACAGCACTCTACAACAATCAGCTACAGCATATAGCTTCTCAATATGTTCTTTATTCTTCCTTAGGAGTGAACAATGGGTTAAAAAGCTGCACACATTTCCTGATAACGCGCTGAAGCAGCAGAGGTGTGTAACTCGCAGTAAGACAAGCTGAGATTAACATTAACATCTGTCAGCTGCAAAAGCCAAAACCTTCCACCTCCAGTTCTGCTGTTATTCATAGGAGCTGACTGGGAGCTATTTCTGTACGGGACTGCAGACGGGCTCGTGCTACCCACCCAACCAATAACAACTATGTTAAAATCTGCCTTTGCATTAGTAAACACCAACAGATTAAACACAATTATAAAAAAGGACTTGAAATGCAGTTTTGAGAAGTTTTTAAAGATATAAAAGGAAATCATGAAGCGAAGGTCTGCACTGCTGCTTACCCGTTCTCGATGTCAACAGTCTGGACACACCTCCTGAAATGATTCTTCCTCCTGTAATTAAAGAGAAACACAGCTCAGTTTAATCAGATACACACAAACACTAACTTTACCCAACTTGCAGAGATGATCCACAGATTCTATGGCGATAAGATTAAAACCATAATAACAAAGTAATGTTCTTAAATGTATAAAATAATAATAATAATAAACTCTGAAGGGAACCAGTCCAAACACATGTTCTAGTATAAGTGTAAACTAAAACTATTAAAGTGTGGAATGAAGAATCTGAACTGGTGCTTCAGGACTGCTTAAACAGTACAGAATGAGACAAGAGACAATACAGACTGAAGCTGGAGGGATATTACACCACCGCTGATCCCCGGAGCGTGACGCAAGGTCTGCAACACATCACAGACTACAAACAGAAGAGTTTGGGGGCCTCAACCAGCAGAGTCACACTACCGGGTGAGCTCAACGAGTTCTACGCTCGTATCGAGGCCCTCAACGCCAGCCGACAGGGAGAGATTCTGGCCACCGAGGGCAAACTGGACCCACCACTCTGTGCGTCACCGGTAGAGGTGCGCTCCGCTCTGAGGAGAACAAACCCACGGAAGGCAGCTGACCCAGATAACATCCCCGGGCGTGCACTCAGGGTTTGCTCATCAGAGCTAACGGAGGTGTTAACAGACATCTACAACCTGTCCCTCGCTCAGGCCTCGGACCCCACCTGCTTCAAGTCCACCACCATCGTGCCCCTCCCAAACAAGGACACTGTGACCTGTCTGAATGACTATCGGCCTGTCGCACTCACTCCAATTGTGATGAAGTGTTTTGAAAGGATAGTCATAACACATCAAAAAGGCCATCCCGGGCCACCTTGGACCCCTTACAGTTATCATAGAGACAGAATCGTTCCACAGACGATGCTGTCAACGCTGCCATCCACACTGCCCTCACACACTTAGAAGCCAAGGACACGTGTAAGAATGTTTTTCATGGACTACAGCTCAGCATTCAGAACAGTCATTACATTCAGGCTCTCTGTAAAGCTCCTCACGCTCGGACTGACACCCTCCCTCTGTAACTGGGTGCTGAACTTCCTCACAGACAGACCCCAGTCAGTCAGAGTTGGAAACCGGACATCAGGCATCAGAACTGTGAGCACAGGGACCCCCCCAGGGCTTCGTGCTAAGTCCGCTGCTCTACACCCTCTTTACCTACGACTGTGTGTCCTCCCAGACCAACACCTGCATTATAAAGTCTGCGGACAACGCTACGGTCATGACGGGGGGAGACGACACTGATTATTGATCCTAAACAAAAAAAGGAGGGGATTTTGATCCTAGGAGGGGGAGAACAGCACTGCCCACTGTACATCAGTGAGACAGAGGCAGAGAGGGTGACAAACTTTAAATTCCTCTGAACCCACATCAGCGAGGACCTCACCTGGTCTCACCACACCCACCAGCTCCTGAAGGAAGCCCAGCAGAGACTTCTTAAGCAGGCTGAGGACATTTGGTATGTCAACCAAGATCCTCAGCAACTTCTACAGATGTACAGTGGAGAGCATCATCACCAGCTCAGTTACAGTGTGGCAGCTGTACTGCTCAGGACAGGAAGGCTCTCCAGCGTGTCATAAAAACTGCACAATTCATCTCTGCAGCAGCCTTCCCATCACTGCAGGACATCTACACAACCAGGGTCCTCAGGAGGGCCCACAACATCATAAAGGACAATACACACCCACAACACAGTCTCTGCACACTTGTGCCGTCAGGCAGGCGCTGCAGGAGTGTGAAAGCAAGGACGACAAGACTCTCTAACAGTTTTTACCCCAAGGCCATCAACCTCTTAAACAGTACAGCCCCTTACTGTACATATGACAATAAACTTCTTGAATCTAGTGGAGAACAGAAACTGAACATTTGAGCCAGAACAGAGTTTCCTAATGTTAACTCTCTACTACAGTTCATTCATTCGCTCGTTCATTCATCAGGAAACTCTGCAAACTAAAGTGAGCAATAAAATATTAGCAGATTTTTACTGACAGTTTACTTCAATAGATGTTCACAGAGAGCCACTGATGTGTGATTTCATTAGAGTATCATCAGCTGAACCTGAATTAAATTAAATATGTCTGAGGGATCATTAAACATTATTACAGGAACTTCTCTGGGTCTTAAAATAGTAGCACACAAAGTACAAAGTATTAATCTCATAAGGATATTGAGAGAACAACAACTATAATATGCTGTATAGTTTACAACAAAGTTCAACAGCACAAACTGCAACCTCTCAAATAATCATAATGTTGAACCAACATCAACTGACTGCAGTTAATATATTTAAGATTATTAACATTAGACAATCAGAGGGGGGGTGCACCGGTCCTGGAAGTACTGCAATACCAGGTCGATGCGTGGAGTGGACGGAGCAAGCCCCTATTCCATCTCCCAGTTCCAAAAATCAATTTAATATATGGTCCCCGGGTAGGGGACGTATCAGATATTAAACTGATAAGAACAGATACTACACTTGATCTTAGCCAAAAGGCCGAGAAGCGATACTGAACTACAGTCGGAGGTACGGAGCTCTTTCTCCGCACCGGGACCCTCACTGACGGTTCACAGCCCGACGGAACAACGTGAACACAGTCGACACAAATACAATAACAATAAAGTAAAGTAAAGTAAAGTACAACAAACTACAGTCGGAGAAAATGTCGCAGAACCGCTAAAAATAAAGAAAGTTTAAAGAAATAACTTTACCAAACGCGGCTCGTCGCCACTTCCCGATCACGTGTTGTCTCCTAATCCAATCAGACGCTTTCAGCAACGTCACAACCCAAACAACTTTTTTTTTTTTTTTAATATATCAACTTTATTTAAATATTCGATTTACAAATTATGTCAAACAATAACACACAACACAATACATATGAGCTGTTTTACAGATACAAAAACAGGGTCAAAACAACCCAAACAACTGTCTGTTCATAAATATCACTATTTACATATATACCGTATTGACCCGAATATAAGACGACCCCTCTTTTTCAAGACCCATATTTGGAAAAATACTTTTCACTGGGTTCCTCCTCCTCACTCGCACTGTCGTTGTCGCTGTCTGCCGCTGCCGCCGGCAGGCTAACACACCCACTCCAGCCGACTTGTTTACTGTACATGCTTGTTTACAGGATCACGTTAGGGTCACACTGCACTAAACGCTGACGGAGAGAAAAGCGCTCATATGGCGCTACCTATTGTTTTACATGGGTTACTCCTTAGACCCCGAATATAAGACGAGGCGTCATTTTCAGGCATTTTTCAAGGGAAAAAATATCGTCTTATATTCGGATCAATACGGTATATCACTATTTATAGATATATATATCACTATTTATAGATATATATATATATATATCACTATTTAAATATATATCACTATTTATAGATATATATCACTATTTATATATATATATATATATATATATATATATATATATATATATATATGAATTATTTTGGTAATAAATAATAAAGCATAATAACAGTCTGAATAAGTGAGTGTAACTTCTGTGTGGTATATTACTGTCTGACAACAACAGGAGAGAATATGGAGAAGAGTTACAACCACTGACTGTATATTTCTGCACATTAATGGTTTTTAGATGATTTCTTTTCAACATGTATATCAGGGGTCAGCGCGAACGCAGTCCCCCACTACCACAAATTATGCAGTCGAGATTCCCACATTTGGGGAATTCGTTGAGGTCAACCCAACCGGAGTGCAATGGTCAGGCCTCGCCCAAGGTGAACCACCTTCTTGATCATGGTATCTCCCCTGCCAGGTAAGTATGAGTTGTCCAGCTCAGAGACAGGGACCTCTCTCACAGACACACCGTGTTAACTGATGGTGCTAATAATCTCTATATTACTGAAACCAGAGGATGTAGAAGGTGAGTGAAACTGCAGAACAGAATACAGAAGATACAGTTTTGAACTTAAGCTGATAAAGATTATATTTTGCTTTATGTACGTAAAGTTTATGTTTCCCATAATGCAATGCGGTATGGCTACATTAGCAGCTAACACAAATCAGCAGTTTGTTTCTATTTTACCTCCAACAAATGAACAACAGTCCAACAACAAGTTCAAGTGAGACAAAGCTGAATCAAACTGCAATCAGAGGCTGTTTGATCCACATTTACAATCCAGAAAAAAAGAACTAAAAACACTAAAAACACTAAAAACACTTTTTCTCCCACACTTTACAACCACTTCCTGTTTCTTTGTCTCCCGGGCAACAGGGCCGTCCTGTTACTGCCACCTACTGGTCTGGAGTGAATCAGGATTTTAACAATAAAGTTCAACAGCAACACAAACTGTCATAATTCAGCTAAACTCTATCTGCCTTCTGAGGACATGCAATCGAGGACCACTATCCCCAAATCACACAGTAAATAGGGGTTTTAAACACATGGACTTTATCTAAATAAACTAAAAGGAATTTAAGGATCTGATTTTTGAAAATTAAAACACAGTTCCCAAAATTATTCCTCCACTCTTTCCATCCTTGGTTCTTTAAACATATTGACCTGATATCTAAATCTGTCATCCTTTGTAAAATGTTGAAGATCAAGGCCCAAAACAATATTAAATAACCACAAATGTTCCCACAACAGCGGTTCTGTTCATAAGTACAGCACTCTACAACAATCAGCTACAGCATATAGCTTCTCAATATGTTCTTTATTCTTCCTTAGGAGTGAACAACGGGTTAAAAAGCTGCACACGTTTCCTGATAACGCGCTGAAGCAGCAGAGGTGTGTAACTCGCAGTAAGACAAGCTGAGATTAACATTAACATCTGTCAGCTGCAAAAGCCAAAACCTTCCACCTCCAGTTCTGCTGTTATTCATAGGAGCTGACTGGGAGCTATTTCTGTACGGGACTGCAGACGGGCTCGTGCTACCCACCCAACCAATAACAACTATGTTAAAATCTGCCTTTGCATTAGTAAACACCAACAGATTAAACACAATTATAAAAA